CATACTTCGTTTATAAAGATGTTACGTGTAAAGACGCTCTCAAACTCTAAACACCAGTGACATCCCTACTTGTATCATTTTACTTAAAGTATTTTGGACAAACAGGATATACAAACTAGTTCACTGCCTGCCGACCTAAACCATTCGCTAAAACAATCATTTTCTAACGTTCACCTAATCACGAGGTGAAAAATATCCTCCAATTCATCATAATAGTTTCTTTCCTATTGATTGTTTAGAAAGGTCTCCTAATATACGGTGATAATAAACCAGTTGGTGCACTTGATATTGAAAATCAGGCTCACCATTTTAGTCATGGGTCAAGTACTCTTTGAACAAAAAACTTCAAGCGATCAAACAAAATTCAGTTCTATCTTAATAATTGAATGTTCTATCGTCTTGTCTTGCAAAGAAAACTGATTGACGTTTTAATATTGTAAACCGACAGGTCGATAATTTAGATCTTCACTCATCGTAATCAATGTATAGTCTCAAATGTAACATAAAGATGTCAAGATTGACGTCATAAGAATCATTCAACCAGGTTCAGCCTGAAGGTTGATATTATATAAATTAATTCGCGATCCCGATTACGCACACCATGATTATGGTTAGATAATTCTAGATCTTAGAGTAGAAGTTAAAATTTGTTGGGTTTACTAGGATGTTGAGTACTCCCACATTTGAGTTAATATCCGGCATATTGTGCTTTTTTCTGCATTTAACAGTTGAATAAGCATGACAAATTTTCATCACTAAAATTTACCAAAATAATGTCATGACTTAATTGAAGACAGTGTCATGGCATCGTCATAAAAAACTGACGCAACGTAAGTTCGATTGATTCTACCCCATGCTCCGATAGTGAGAGTACATTCAGTTGGACAGGAGAATAAATCATCGTTCTACCAGTGACAGCTATCATAAAGCAGTACCAGTTACGGTTTAAGCTTGGTTCAAATATCAGTGAACACACTAAATGGGAGTCGTTCATCGTGGATTCCGCTTATATTGCGTGATGTGATATTCTTTAACTTTAATGAACAATCTACCTCGATGTTTCATTCACTTGAGGAGCGCTAAATATTTTTCACAAACACAGAAGTTATCCAATTATTGCCAATGTTATTTCATCAGTCACTGATTTGCATCCTTTATCACAAAACAGTCGCTCACTTATATTCTAATCGATATATTTTCTAAAGTATGGATATTTCAGAGTTAAACCCAGTATCTGATGAGCAGAAGGCTCCATTCCACCGAAAATGATATTCGAAACGTTCTCCAGAACAGTTTAGTTTGGCTTTCGTAAAGTTGTCGAGCGATTATTCGTGGATTGTTTTCTGGGTTACTGATTACGTATTATTTTTGAACAACAATTATCGAGTCATAATTCAAGCTCAAACACATTAAAATTAATCGCTTAAAAGATTTCTGACAGTCAAAAGACATTTCTAACAGTTATCATAATTTCTCCATACCAGTACAGAACATAAGGGTGATTCACAAGTGCTTTTACCAATATATACAAGCCACTTATTACCTCAATATAGGGGTTAGGATAGCTAATGCATTCTTTAATGTCACCAAAGTTTTCGGTCGTATCCATCATCTCTTACTTACTTATTAAGGCCAGTTACTCGCCGCCCATCAACACACTCCATCCGACAGTGTTCTGCGCAATCCTCTCCAGCTCTTTCCAGTTCCTATTGATCCTTTTCATATCTGTTTCTATTTTCCGACGTAATGTGTACTTGGCTTTCCTCTTTTCCGCTTCTATTCAGGATTCCAAGTTACAGCTTGCTTCGTGATTCAATTTGGTGATTTCCGTAATGTATGTCCTATCCATTTCCATCGTCTTTTTCTAATTTCCTCTTCAGCTGGAGGCTGATTTGTTCACTCCCATAGTAAGCTGTTGTTGATGGTATCCGGCCAATGGATGTTGAGTATCTTGCGTAGACAACTATTCACATAATTGTACCTTCTTGATGATGGTTGTAGTAGTTCTCTGAGTTTCAGCTCCGTCAGTAGGACTATCCTCACGTTTGTATTGATGATTACGACTTTGATATTGGTTTGCAGTTGTTTTTGGGTTACACATGTTCTTCAACCGTAGGAATGTGGCCTTTGCTTTGCCAATCCTTACTTTTACGTCAGCATCCGAACCTCTTGAACCATCGACGATGCTTCTCAGGTGCGTGAAAGATTCTACATCTTTCAGAGTTTCTCGATCAAGTGTGACTGGTTTTGTGTACTCCGTATCGTACTTGAGGATCTTTCACTTTCCGTTGTGTATGTCGAGGCATACGGAAGCAGAGGCTGCTTCTACATTAGTTGTATTCATCTGCATTTGTTTGAGTGTATGGGATAGGAGGGTTAGGTCATCTGCAATGCCCAAATCCTCTAATAGGTTCCTAGATGTCCACTGCGTTCCGTGTTTTACCTCAGTTGTCAAGATTTTCACAATCCAGTCAACCACCAGAAGAGGAATGGAGGGAGTCGACAGCCTTGTCTGACTCCGGTCCCTACTTGGAATACGTCTCTCATCTGTCCTCCATGCATGAGTTGCACTATAGTCCATCGTATGAGTTCCGGATAATGTTGGTACTCTTCTCGGGAGCTCCATAGGATAGATGAAGTCTCCATAATCTTTTCCTATTTACACTGTCAAACGCCTCATAGTCAATGAAGTTGATGTATAGTGACGAGTTTCACTCAACCGACTGTTCAACAATGATCCATAGCGTCTCAATTTGGTCTGCGCACGACTAATCCTTACGGAATCCATCTTGTTGATCTCGAAGTTCGGCGTCTACTGCGTCTTCCACCCGGTTCAGCAACATTCTGTTGAAAGCTTTTCCTGGTACTGGCAGTAGTGTGATGCCTCTGTGGTTTTCAAATTTCCTCAGATCTACTTTCTTTGCAATCTTGATGAGGTGTCCTTCTTTCCAGTCCATCGGCACTTGTTCCTTCTCCCAAATCTTTTTGAATAGAAGGTAAAGCACGCTTGTAGTTACTTCGATGTCTGACTTTCGTGCATCAGCTGGTATGTTGTCTGGTCCTGCTGTTTTCCCACTCTTGATTTGTTTGATGGCCATTCTGATTTCTTTCATCGTCGGTGAGTTGACATCTATAGGAAGATCTGTGTGTGCTGCTTCGATGTCTGGTGGATTCATTGGAGCCTACCTATTCAGGAGTTCCTCGAAGTATTCTACCCATCTGTTTCGCTGTTGTTGAATTTCAGTGATTGGCCTGCCTTCTTTGTCTTTGACCGGTCTCTATGGTTTACTGTATTTCCCTGCTAGTTTCTTCGTTGTGTCGTAAAGCTGTTTCATATTTCCTTCTCCTGCAGCTTATTCCGCCGTCGTTGCTAGTACTTCCGCGTATTTCTGCTTATCAGCTTTAATGATCTTCTTCACTCGCTTGTTTGTTTCTGTTTACTCAGCTTATGCCTTGACTTTATCTGCTCGTGTTCGGCTGTTGTTGATTGTTGTTTCCTTTTTCTTTCATTCGTGAATCCTGTCCGAAGTTTCTATGGAAGTCCATTCCTTATGACGATGTTTCTTGCGACCCAGAACCTCCTGACATTTGAAATTAGTGCTTCTTTGGTTGCTTTCCAGTTGTCTTCCTTTTAGTTTCTTTTTTTCATTAGATCCTCTTAGACTTGGAGCCTGTTGTTTAGAGTCATCCTGAATTAGTTGATTTATTTAGTATCTCCGAGGAAGGCTGTATTGAATCTTTGTACTGCCATAATTCTTCCTTGAACTCGGAGGGCAGAGTTTAAATGTTTTAATTTGTTTATTCTGGTTGGAGCTCTTTACGAGATTTTTTCTATGGGATGGGGTTACCGACTTCATGCCCGACCCTCCATCTTTACCCAGGCCTGGGATCGCCAGCAGCTCCAGAAGAGCTACAGGTGGAGTCGTCCATCGTCTCTACTGAAAACTAAGCCAAGTGGGTAGGAGATCGTATTTGGTTTGCTCTACGATCAGTCTTCATACATGTTTGTTCGGAGTTTCGAAAATTCTTTTTACTATCAAAACAGGGAGGAGTGATTCCCCTGACTTTTGGACAGGTTTAACAACCAAACGGCGTGTGACTATTGAGCCATTTTTACTTTCATTCGTTTATCCAAAAACAAAATCAGACCACGGGCAACTAAAAACCATTGTCCCGGTAGAGTAAAGCTATCGTAGGAAGTTCGAAATTGTCGCGATCTTGTCGATGCTAGTAAAACTATGTAGACCTATTATTCTGGAATATCATCACAGAATAAATCTCTAACTATAGTAATGCAACGATTGTCAGTGTCGGATACTGAGGCGAAACCAAATGCTAACGAGCCTTATTTTCGGTTGCGGAGAACAAGGGTATGAAAAAGTAACGATTTTAAGGATCATAGCTATATGAGTTTGATATGTGTTAGGTAACACACATGTTAAGGCAGGAAAGCTTGCTGACAGACCTGAATTGACGTCAAACCCGGGAAAACTTGAGTTTATCCATGTGCGATAAAGTGACAGCTATACGGAAATATTAGTATTTTCCGTCTGGAAAAGCAGAAATATATGTATCCAAGAAAATTGACTAGTTCTTTCGCTATTTCTGAAGTGGCGACTGTACTGTAGAACACGCTATAAATACCGCCTCTTAGTTACACCTACTTACTAAAATTTCTCCCTCTGGAATATTCGAAAGACCAACACACATTTTAACTTTTCCAAACACGAATTGTGTTGATTTCAAATACCTTAGTTTGTATCCAGATTCTTCAGTGTTTCTAGAGGCGGAAAACCACTGCAAGATCAATTTTATCATTTGCACAAGTACCTGAAAATTTTTGAACAGAAACCGGATTACTTTTGCATACAATACTAAAAATAACGAGTTGAACTTTCACCTCCACTAATTTAGAATGCTTCGAGCAATTACGGTGCCACTTACATCCCGTTTCCAAAAATCCTAGACATCAGTAACCTGCATTATGTATTGCAACTGTTGGAATAGCCGCTCTTACAAGTGTGACCTTCGCAATTGTTATAATTTTCGTAAATGTCGTTGTGCATTATTTGTCGATGGAGGGTGTCCGTACAGTGACGCTTAAGTCGAATTCCGTAACTTCGTTTACCGTGCTGATATTTTAGAATTATAGTCTTTTAGTGCGGCACAACGCCGTGGTGATCACATTGAAACTCACAAACGATGGGCTGCTGGTCAAAACAAGCAGCGGACCATCGAGAAAAACACAGCTAAACTAGAGGAGGATACAGAGGATTTGCACAATGATTTGGTTGACATGGATGTTGGTAAGATTATAATGCAGGCAAGACAGGAGAAAAATTTGACACAGAAAGACTTGGCTACCAAAATTAACGAAAAACAACAGGTATTATATTCAGTGTTTGCTCATTGCTGCAGGTAATTGCAGAGTACGAACAAGGTCGTGCAGTAAAAAACCAAGCTATTATTTCGAAACTAGAGAGGGCTCTGGGAGTTAAATTGAGGGGTAAAGACAAAGGAAAGCCCTTGGGAAGTTCGAAGAAAAATTAGTCCAGAGCTTTATAATCTCTCACCTTTGTCAAACATTGTTATACTCTCTAAATGACCTAAAGTGATATGTACATTAACCTTTATAAAATAGATTGTCATTTTACGACTAAATCAATAGGCTGCTCTGGACTTGCTGCTGCGTATCTGAATATAATTATTTCCTGACGTATTTTTATTCTGTCATTGGCAACTGCCGTTAATGACACCCCATATTGGCTATTGTAAGTGGATAAAGGAGATATTAGATCCCAGACCAGTCTGTGCATTTCATTATCAATCAAACTTTTATTATTGGTAAGCTCGAGATTTTAACAATGTATTCCGTGAAATGTGCCCACCGTAACTGCGATCGCAAATCCCGTGTAATTAGTGGTTGTAAGCATCCCAACAACTTTAGTAAGCAAAGAAATCAAGTTGTTTATGCTGCATCTTATTAGGAAGTCTGTATATTGGGTCTAAAAAAAGTGTTCCAGTTACCACCTAAAGTTGATTTGTCATGTCTTTATGGTGCTTTTTATCCCTTAACATTATACAGGGCAATAAGTCGTGAACTATTTTCCATACTAGTATATCTACTAGTAGTTGATTTAAAAAATATTCGCGTATTGGGTAGGAGGTAAAGTCTTGTTTATTTCGATCGTCCGGATAACTTTTAGGAGGCAAATTATTGAAGTACACTCAATAAAATTCATTTTTGATGTGGAGTATGCTTGTTACAGAAATTTGCTGCTTGTTTGCGTTACATAACAGTTAAAATATAAAAAGGACTAAAAGAGAAGTGATATACGACTCCCGTAGCTCAGTGTATGGAAAGTGACGGCGTATGTAAGTATTTGTAGTTCGTATTTGTATTCAGTTTGATTGAAAATCTACGTGGAGTTTCAGTCTCTATTTTGTGCGATGCATCTCGGCTCCTGACAATTTATTCGGGGACGTGTTCGCTTGTTCTCATCAATGGTTGTCACCCTCCAGAGGATTCTAATATCTATTGTTCTGCATTCAATAATGGTTGTGATCTCGATCTGTAGGTAATATTATTACGATCTTTCTGAAAGTGGTCATGAATGTCATCGTAACTATGTAACAAAGGTTATCACACTAGTAAACCGTGTCTTGTAACTAACATTTCACAAAGAATTGTTATCCCGTAAATTCCAGGCTACTATGGCTATATGAAAGTGTTTATAGCTAACCGCTTGTGGTCATTCTGAGTGGTAACGCTACTCTACCACTTAATGTATTGCTGATCCGTAATGTTTGTAACTTGATGAATAATTACCTGTAAGAAACTTTTCGAGCTAAGTAATGACATGTACAAGACCACCTTTTTATAAGCACCATTTAGTAAATATGTGTAGAGAAAGATCTCACCATGTATATTGCTAAGATAATTTCACTAACTCCAAAAGTTAGTGGCAAAATAAAGTCGATATTACTTACAAATATAATTATAACCCACTTATTAGGCTTTTATTCATTCGCCTTTATTTGGTTCAGATGCTCAAGTTAAAGGGCTTATTTACATTATCCTGATCGCACAACAAATACGTGGGATTTGAGCATGCTTTCTACCCAGAAAAATAATTACAGTAACTCGACAATACAATACCGAAACTCGTTTCACATATCTACCAAAACTGTCAATGAAACCAAATAAGGCATCAAAGACAAAAGTTGGGATAACTGCTTTTGTAGTTGTATGATGCACAAAAAACAGCATCGTTAAAATAAATCCAATTAGAATACTATTTAGTTAAGACGTCTATTGTCTGGTCATTGATCATTCGAAAACTGAGTGGAACTAGTAAAATGATATCTTATTTAAGAGGAAAACAAACAGTCACTATTACGTCAATGGAACTAATTTAAGTGTAATCAGTTTAACAAAAACTGACTAGCCCAATTATACGAGGTTCCTGGTCCTATATACAAAATGAAGTCAATTTTTAGATACTCTTACTCGCCTAATAGTAACATCTTTTTCCACTAGCTGGCTAGTAAGGAAATTTGTTGATATAATTTTCTGAAAATAAGACTCATTTGCTTCTGTGCTACCTACAAACAACCAATGTGCGGGTATTGCCCCTGTTCATCAATCAAATCCTTCAAGTATTGGAAGCGATTTTCTACGTCAACGGATGATTAGACCTCCGCTTAGTAATAGTTAGTCGGTCACAGTCTACATCGGAATTTTTCAAGGTTCTCTCGCCATCATAAAATAAATTCTGTACGTTCTCCAACATATCCATAATAAAATGGGAAAACTGAACGTCATCTAAATATCATAAATCGGGTACGTCTAAAATAGAATGGGGAGAGAATTGCACAAGTTTTGGCAAACCTGTAAGTAGTCCGCTATTCAGTAAAGAATGGTGTTAAACACTCGAATACAACTTATTCTAATGAAATCAGTTTTAAAGTTCACGTTAGTTCATGGTAATTTTCGTTCAGTTAACTTTCGGTGCACTTTTATTTTCACAAATTAATTCAATGTGTGGTTTCTGTCCATTTGAGTTTCGTTCGTCTGGCCTTCATTTTACCTCTATTAATTAATTCACAGTGATGTTTCTTTCAAGTGTTTTTCCACATTCATAAACTTTAATAATCACTGAACGTTATTGGTATTTTAATGGATTAGTTTGAATACCGGTTCATCTTTGGTCTCTACCAAACAAATGTTTCTTACAAGATTTGTGTTTTGGAGTAGCCGTACTGATCTTATGTTCCCAACCAGCCGATACCACAAGTAATTTGGGTTGTTAACCCGTTCCATAGCTGATCATCAGTCAGGAGTCGTAAGTTACCCTTAGGCAGGTTTTGTTTAGATCCACTATAAACATACTGGGTATTTACTGCTTTAGTGTGGATATTGGGCATCAAATTCACAAAGTACTATGTTCCAAAATGCATTCTCTATTATCATATGGTTCTGAAGGCCTTATTTCAAGCACGGGTCTTTTGTGTAATGAGTAATATATATGTTAACTTTTGTTGAAAGTGTGTAGCTATCATTGATACCATCCAGCGTACTAGGACCTTATGTTGTGATGTCATCAGTCGTAGCTTATGACATTTATCAAACTGACCAGTCATGGAAATTATGCCCACTGAACAACTGTTAGAGTTTTTTTCGTGGAAGTGAACCAACAATAGTTCTAACTATAGATAATCAATCTGGTAAACTTATAGAATTTCGAAACAAATTCTTATGTTTGTAGAGATTTTTACTTGGACTCCATGCGTTGGATGTACAACTAGAAGACAGTTGAGTGCTTTATAGTTTAAATTGTTTTTTAACTTGTGAAATTTAATTACCTGCTAAATAAAAGCATTTTGAAGTTTTTTTAAAAATAAAGATTGATTTTTTCATCAATACTATCATGAAGTTTTGGAGATTACATTAATATACTTTAGTTTAAAGTATGTTTAACTTAAGGATTGCCCATCACATTTTCCCGAGTAGTAGTTACAGCCACTCAAGGTTGTTTGTCCAAAGTCATACTAAATAATCAAAAGTAGAAAACATGTGAAATATATTCTGAGCTTAAAACATCAGCGACTGCTTTCCAGCCAGTTATTTAGCCAATTAAAAAACAGCTTTTGTAGGAGATTAGTATGTAGAAAATGCAATAATAATGTCTCAAAGTGTAAACAGCTTTTGCAATTAATAAAAGTGACCCATTGTTTCATAAAGAAGAATAAAGACACGTATCACGTGGAAAGTTTTCTTTTGTTAGATTTCATTTTCTTAAGCTGTACAATCGTTTTTACAACTAATTTATTTGCTAAAAATAGTTTGTTGTGAAACAGCAGTGTTGAGCAATTAAAAAAAAGACAAGTGGTATCTGGTCATTAGTTGTTTGCGGAAATTAGATATTAATAGGAAGTTGTGTAATAATCGGCTAATGGGAAGTGTTAGGGTGGATATGATTTTTCATTTGATAGCTATTGATTAAAATTCCTAATAATTGCTTATTAATATTTCCGGAAATATTCAGCTTGCAGACTGTTCAATTTCATTGAAATCATGAACCGATCAATGTTCGAACACCATTAAAAACCTGGAAGCACCAAATGATCGTTTCGTCCTAGTATCGAACTCCTCAGGTGGCTGAGGTTGTTAGGTTTGAATCCCACTTGCGGTATCGCGGGTACGCATTGCCGAGGGATCCTATACTAGGACGAAACGGCGGTTTAGTGCTCCCAGTTTTTCATTGATGCTCCGACATTGGTCGGTTCATGATTTCTGAAAATGATTGGGAAGGAGCAGAAATTAGAAATAAACCATAGATTATGGAAGATGGAAGGGAAGGTTTATACCATGGCAGAATGGAAGACTGAACATACTGCTTTTATACGCAATGGTTAGACCTGAACTGGTGGATAGCTATAGCGTCTGCTGTACATAAGTTTGGAGTCCCCTTGAACCGACTTTCCTGATTATGAATTTGAAAGAGGCTTCTTTTGAGGCGGTGTCACTAGAATTAACTATGTCCTCCAAGATTGTCTTTGACTTTTATGGTCCTTTAAAAATCCAGGCAGAGTAGTGTTTGGAGACGCATTTCAAAAGAACCCGCTTTGTTCAGCCAACAATCTACTCCATATGACCAAGTAAGTGGTAGATCCATATTGATTCGACCCTAGACGAGAGCTTATCCTCCACACAACTGCGAGTCGTAGATCTATTAGAGAAAATAATACAAAGTTTAACCTAATAGAATATATTTCCCGGAAATCTCGAAAGTCTCTTCCTGTGAATTTCTGTTGCAGTATCTCCTTTAAACTGAATGTTTACAAAGAAAGTCTTCTGGTACTAAGGACACTGTCACGTTGTTTCGGCTCTGGACTTTTCTCAATGAGTCTAAGTGGGTGTCCATCGTTGATCAGTATCTGCCATGGTCTGTCAAGTTTGATATTGATTGCATCCTTAGTATAGATTCGTCTAGCTCTCGTTCAAACAGGTCAGGTTTTTCATTTGCTTCGGCGGTACTCAACTTTACAAATCCATGTATCGACCATTCCAGATTGGCTTTTCATATATAGATTTTTACAGAGAATCATCAGGTTTACTTTTCAATAATCATTTGTGAAGTAAAATTCTTAATCCGACTCTTATTCCATTGTGAATTAATTGATTGATGGCTATTATTCCATAGTTAATGTTATATCCTACTGAAGATTAAACTATGGGTAGTTTCTGACCACTTCGTGGACTAATATTATATATATACTTATTGCATATCTATTCAGTAACTAGATTATGTATATCTTTATTTCTCTTGTTATAAGCTTTATTTTGACCTGTAGATTACTATTACACAATCTACTGTTCTTAAATTAGACTCAGTTTATCAATTACAGTCTCCCACATTCGCAGCCACATTTTGGCTTGATCTTCTACAAATTTTATTTCCTATTTTATGGTGTGATTTGGTCCATTTTGGTTTGTATATGAACCAGTCAGTCAACTACAACGTAGGACCAGGCACATATATGCATCGGTCCAAGTTGCCATACCGCATTAGCACAACACCGGATTCATAAAAGTAGTTAATTCAGTGGTGGTAATATATAAAAGAAAGATTGCATATAAGGATATAGTAATGGAAGAAAGAATTAGTTCGTAGAAAGAAAGATATGAAGCGATTTAAATCTCGTAGTTTAAGGGAAGACAGAGAGTGTATACGTGTATACCTACGCCATTGTGGTCGACTCTGACCCATATCACACAGAGCCTCCAGCCATTAGTTACGGTAGTCACGCGTACCCCAACCAAGTAGTCTGCCTCTCCCAACATGGCTGAGACCAGATGCTAGTGACTTTAAGCACTGGTGCCACGTTTTGGTTTGGCAGCCCCTGACTTTCTCCCAATCATCTCCAACACTGGTTAGCATTGCACGTTGTGGTCATCGGTGTTCAGGCGTGTGTAACACGTGGCCCAACCATCTTAATCGATGAGGATTCACAACCTTATCAACTGATTTACCATCTTTTCCTAATACCCTGCGTCTAACCTCACTATTACTTACCCGATGATCCCAGCAGATGCGAGCAATATTTCTAAGATATCTGTGGTCAAATACTAGTAGCTTACGAGTATCTTCTACTCTTAATGGTCACGTTTCGCCTCCGTAAATTAAAACAGAACCAACTGTCGCGCAGTATACTCGTCCTTTCATTGATAAACGAACATCTCGCCTTCGCCATAAGTGACGTAAGTTGGCAAAAGCCCTACGAGATTTTCGAGTCCGTGCTGAGATTTCGTCAGCCACCAACCCATTAGGGCTGACCAGACTTCCAGGATAAGTGAAGTTGTCAACGCATTCGACTTCTTCACTCCCTATCCTTTGTTCAGGAGTTGACGCAGGGCAGTCCTGAAGCAACAACTTGCATTTAGAGGGAGAGGAGCGCATTCCAAACATTCTGGTATTGTTGCTTAGTGCTATCGGAAGACTATTTCATCAGCGTCTTCACCAAACAGGACTATCTCATCGTATTCTAAGTCGATAAGCGGACCTCCTGGAAGGAGATCAATACCCGAGAATTCAATCGACGAGAATGTTATTTCCATCAGTAGGTCTATGATGAAGTCAAACAAGAATTGATAAAGTGGACAGCCTTGACGGACACCTAATTTTCTTGTGTTTTTGCAGTTTACGAGTCTTAGTTAGGCGCCCGATAATTTTTGAGGCCAGTATTTTAGATGCTATATTAGTCAAACTAATCCCTCAATGATTATCACAGGACGGTTTGACCCCTTCTTATATATTGTGATTGTGACCAGTCAGATGGGATATCGTCCAACTCCCAGATTTTAGCTAAAATATTAGTCAACCTAATCGCTAAAATTGGGCCACTATCCTTAAAGACCTCTGAAGACAATCCATCTGGACCAGCTGCCCTTCCTCGTTTCAGATTAACTATAGCATTTGAACATCAGCTAAAGTTGGGGGACTTACTTCAATGTTCCATTCACACTGTCTGGGAATGGAGGGTAGTTCTAGAGTAGCTGAAGGCCAGCTGAACTGTTTTCTAAAATGTTCCGCCCATCTTTCTAAACGTCTGAACTGGAAGCAGATGAGAGTGTCATCTTTTGCCGAAATAGTTTGACTTACACTTGACTTATTAATTTCAGTTTCTTTTATTAGTCTGTAGAGCTGTCTTGTGTTCATTATAGCCGCTGCTTTTTCCATCTCTTTTGGGATGAGTTTACGAGAATCCATCAGTGCAATATACCTTGAAGAATTCCATTGGTTCTTTGTAACTCTGTGGTTTAAATCATTAATAGATGTCACTGCTGTTTCCACAGCTATTTGTATATCTTCCCAAGCAACATCTGGGTCAGCCTCGTTTTCAAAACTACCTAAGTGTGACCTCAGTTGTTCTTGCAACCTACTTTTGGTTTTCTCGCTACTCAGTTTAGTTTTAATGGATCTTTTTACTGTGGCTCTTTTGCGTCCAGTGAGGCGCAAGCAGATGCGTGCCCGTATTAGGGCGTGGTCGGAGTCCAAGCAAGTACTCCAGAATGAGCGACAATCTTCTACCGACCCTCTCCAACGATGACTGATGTCTATTTGAGTCCATCGTTAGTTTGGTGCAAGCGGTCGCCATTTTAGACGATGTCTTTCCTTATGCTTAAGATTTGTGTTTGCTAAAAATAAACGATTGTCTGAGCACAGTTGCAGCAGACGATCACCATTATCTCTACGTTCAGCTGAAATACGAAAATACCCACCTAAATGACATTCTGTTTGGTTTAGACTACCTATCTGGACATTAAAGTCACATGCTACGAGTACTATGTCTGAACGTTTAGCTTTCTGAAGAAGTTCAGAGAGCTTTCTGTAAAATTCATCTTGCACTTCGTCCGAGCTGCAATCGGTGGGAGCGGAGGAAGAAACGTCAAAATGGCAACGACGTGTGTCCCTATCCTTCCGAGTTCTTACGGAACCGTTTAGCCGAATAGCACATAGACGACTGTTGACGGGGATCCACTCTAACAGTGCTTGTTCGGCCCTCATGCATAGTGCTATGCCTACACCTGCCAGACCACGAGAACTGGCCATCGGGTCACCAGATACACGGAGGGTGTATCTCGTTGGCTCTCCGTTTTGGAGAGGCGAGGCCAAGTGAATAAACACACTGGGATCATGTATATGTGTTTTCGAGATAGCATACATCAGTGGTACGAGATTCTAGGGTTCTAGTCAAGGCATCCTGGCGACCGATTCGACATAGTGTGAGTAGGTTGAAGGTTCCAATGTGTATTTTGGAGCGAGGTTTCAGTAGATCTGGGACAGTGTTTTGCGCACTAGAATCGTTGTCTATGGTAACACTTGAGGAATAAACCGAAAAAGGAAGCTTAGAGTTG